TTGAACAATTTGGATTAGTAGAATTGTGAGGATGGTACTTAAGGTATTCAAAGAGCTTCAGTACCAATAAAAGTAATTTAGCTAAACCCTTGCCCACATTATTTTTTGGAGTTAAAGGTAGCCGGTAATATTATGCTATGATTTCAATGCTTATGTCTATATGTGTACAAATTAGCACAAGTCTGCAATCTACTGATGTTAGTACCTTGAAAATTTCATTGGAATAGTCAAAAATACACTATCACAAAAGCCTAAGACAGAAATGTAGAGCAAAATCATGCTTTATCACAATAATTACCAAGATATAAAAAACAGAGTAACTATTAATGTAAGATTTAATTTTAAAATTCATAATTAGTAATGATAAAAGGTCAACGAATAATATATGCGAATTGGAAATTAAACAAATATGCTGAAATTGTATATTGGAGGGAAAAAAGGCTTAATTGTCTTTAGAAAATGTTACGACTTCATGGTTAACACAGATTAATTATAACATGATAGTAAAAATTAGTTTGCATAACCACTGAAATGATATAAATTAAATTTGTCTGCAACAATTGCATGAGTAATGTGTTTTTTATGTGCACAGAAAAATCTTCGCATATAAAATAATGTTTACAAGAGCTAATACTTGTCAAATTCCAAATTAGTTTCATTGAGTAATAGAGCTGCACAATTAACTCAATTACCTATGACTATCAATTACATTAATTAGTGCCATGAAATAACTGATTAATGTCACAAAAATAATCAATTAATCAACAAAATATCGCCATTATAATTTCTCATTATTAGTTTCAATTAATGTGCAGTTGTTCTCCTTAAACAATTTGTGTCGTGACTTACAAAAATAATTAACTAATGGATAGTAGTATTTCTGATTATTACTATTTTGATTTATTGCAGCTATCCAATTGTCACGTGAGAGTAATCAATTAGTTGAACGTAATCAATTAATGAGCTTAACAATTAATTGATTACACTGATTGCCCAGCTGCAGTTATTAATCAACCCCCTTTCCAACAAGAACTACCAAGAGGAAAGAAATCAACAAGTTTCCACTTTCATCATTATATATCCATGTGAGAGTTCCACCTCACCTGGGCTTGGTGCTGGTAGAGCTGTTGCTTCAGATTGTGAAGACGTTATGCTTCCATCTGCAACAGCAGGAAAGTATGCAAACCTTGTGTCCGAGGGCTGGACATCTGATGTGGGACTGTCTCCATCGTTGGTTGTGGAGTAGCTGGTTAGGATTGTTTGAGCAACTTGCTGGCCAACTAATGCTGCTGCTGTGGTCACCACATGAGCAGAAGCATCAGTATTTACATCACACTCTGGTGCAACCTGTACCACACGGTATGTCACAGTACCTGATAATTAATGTTGACATTAAACTTTTTTCTACATTATTGAGTGTACTGAAGTATTACAGAATGACATGGACCAATTTACAAGATGAGCAAATATTTAGTAAATTACCTATAATGAACCTAGATTATTATTATTTGGATCATGCAATTAATACAGATGGGAAATCACTCAAGAAATTGAATCAGCACTTTTTGTCTTATAGGTATTTGTGAAAAAGCTACCCAAAGGCTATCTATGCTAGCCATCCCTAATTTTGAACTATTAAGCTTCTCTTGTTAAATTGAACAGTGGGAATTGACCATCACCTTTATAAAGAACCCACAGTCACAAAATTCAGGGTATGATTTTTTCAGTAACAAGAAGTGAACAATGGACCCCTAGATCCATAATCCAGCAATCTAACCAACGACCCAAGCTCAGCCCTGCTCTGTTGCCAGTACTAGTATTAAAACTAACAGAATTTTACTGTATAGTTATATGCATATTAACCCTCTTGCTACAGGCATCTTTTTCTGCATATGTCACAATGTTTTCCTGAGTTACATTCAAAATATAATTAAACTACTTTCTTGACATGGTATACAAATAAACTTGGCACAAAAACATAGCTAATATTCCAAATTTTAACACAAGCTTTAAGTTCTTAATTTTATAAGGCAACATAAAAAAATTCTGTATTACACCTAGTATGAGAAATATGATATTTGCTCTCTAGACACCCCCTCTTCTCTAATTTTTTACCACCCCTCCAAGAAGTATGAAATTTAACACAAGTTACTCCATATAATGTTATAACTCAGGCAAAGTATAATTTTTATAGCCTTCTATCTTATTTGTTTAGTCATAAAGTAGCAAATCAGACCCCTCTTGATACACCCATCTGTTACATCCTCTTTTTCAGAAGTTGCCAATAGTTCTCTCTGATGTTTAATACTATATTATTTATAAACAGTACAAAACCCAAGTTTTAATCTATCTAACGATGTATTATTACATTGTTTTCCGTATAGAGAATTGTCTATTTCATTTCCAGTTCAAACTATATTCCCATGGGAAACACATCGATGAACTTGGCCAAATTTTTAACAGTTCGTCAAATAGTTAGAAAGCCCAAAAAATTATGATAATTATGGGATATTGTATGCTTTTTGCACATTATTATCCTTTGTTCTTTAGTGTATTATCTAATTAAATAAAAAATATTTAGTTCAGTAGTACCATTAGTATAAAAGAGTAGGGTTAAGTTTCATTGACAGTCAACAGAAAGAAAAAAAAAGACCCAGGTAAGTATTATATTTCTTGTTTTTCATGTGTATTCTTCATATATTATTATAGGAGTAACTAAAATGTAAAAATTAGGAACCTTTCAGGTTAGATTAGGTAAAATAAAGAATAATAATAATAAAAAGTTTTCAGAAAGTGCACTCCTGAGAAACTCCCAACTAGCTCGTGCATTATGTAATTTGATAGGGTAATGTGAGCTTCACATTTGCTAAATGAGTTTCAAACTGTATGGTGGGAATATTAGTTAGACACAGTTCAAAATGCAATGAAACAATAAAATCTACGTATCAACAGATGTATACTGTTATGAGTTTAATGCTATTTAGAATAAACAAATGTAGTTTCATGTTACAATCTGAAGTTGTTCTAGAAAGAAAAATGGGTAATTTAGATTTATTTCAATATTTTATTGGTGGTTACAAGGTCAGTCAAATTGACCAACCTTGTATAGAGAGTTAGGGTAGGGAAAATAACATATAAAATATAAAATTTTACTGAAAATAAACATTTGAAATAAATTTAGGAGGTTTTTTGAGATTACGCAAATGAAATTTAAGCTTTTTCAGATGAAGTATTTTTAATCTTAACATGAAAATCACTTTGCACTCAGAGCAGTCAACACTTTGACTCTATGTATTCATAGAAAATTTTTTAGTGAAAATACTTCACTAAAAATCCTGATTTTTTGTCTACAATGACTTAATGCTTACTGAAAACTTGCAAAATTTCCTGAAGATACACAAAGCATATTAGAAGTTATAGTACTGAAACTCTAAAGGTCAATTTGGGGACAATTTTTAGATGGAATTTACTGAGCCTGTAGCGAGAGAGTTAAATGCAAATAACATAATTATCTTTATTCAAGTAACAAGTTAGTCCTCACTTGAAACACAGTTTTAATATCTTTATCTGAGAAAAGAAATTAACTTGTTAAAAAGGGTTCCAAGGAAAGCTACTAGGATGATTCCAAAGATGGAAGAATTATCTTACAGAGATAGGTTAAGATCTCGGATTGTTTTTTCTTGAGAAAAGGTGGTTTTAAGAGGTGATTTTATTGAAGGTTACAAGATTATCCAGGAGATTGAGAAGATAAAGGCATCTAATTTCTTTGACATTTACTGAAGATAACAGAATGAGAGGACACAAGTTTAAGATCTGGAAAGACAGACTAGCTCCAGTTAAATTCTTCTTTATGGAATTAGTTGCCTTGGCAGTGATGGAGGCCAGCACTTTACAAGAGTTTAAAAGATTGTTAGTTTTCAAGGGTGGGGATGAGAGGATAGTTTGAAGGATAAAACGGTCGCTTGGTGTCTGCATGTTATATTGATAGTGTTATAGCTGAGACAGGTCTACATAAGTTTGCTGAAGCATAGGTCTACATAAGTTTGCTGAAGCATACAGACATCCAAGCCTGCACGAGGTAGTCAGGATGGTGAAAAAAAAAAGTGTTATATTACATATTATAAGCTATGTAAGGAATCTAAAGATTTTCTTTTTTTCAGAGCTCACCATGACCATTCTCTGCTCTAAACTGATAGTGAACTGTAGGATCAAGAAGATTACTGGTCGGTTGGGTAGCATGAAGTTCTATGGCATCTTCAACTGTGTTGACTGTATTATCTAAATAATTAAAAAAATGTTTTGAATGTTAATATATTACAGTCTGTAAGTTGTAATTTCAACTTGCTCACAATCATTTATATTTCATTTACAAGTTTTTATAGGCCATATTTTTGCTTACCAGATTCATAAAAACCTATTAAAAACAAACTTCAATAGAAATAAAAAAATCAAAAGCAAACACTTATTTTAAGTTTCCTGATACACTGTACAATACTGGAAAATCTTTAGTCATATGATAATGTTTAACACATTACTAACAATGATTTTTAAGCAAGTTAATTATAGAGGTAGACAGAGATACAGAAACCAGATGCCAGGAAGAAAACAATGCAACTTATCAGATGTCACCCCTGCTGTCTCATAAAAATAGTCCTTTAGAAACAGAGAGAAAACACTTATCAACTTCGTACTTACACCAACACTAACATATCAATGCCAGACATGGACCTTCAGAGAATTGAATAAAGAATGACATCGTGTGAAATTAGATACTGCCATGAAGCTATCAACAAGATCAGACTAGATAAAGTAAGAAACAAAATCACCAGACAACAGCTTGGAGTGATACCAGTACTGAATCATACAGAAAAGCAAAGATTGAAGTGGTTCAGCCACTTGGTGCAACTGAGTCCAGAATAGCTACCAACAAAAACATACAATTTATAACTAACAGGAAACAGTGAAAGATAAAGTATGTGTTAGACTGATGGTGTCAAAGAAACACTAAAACAACTGTGGAAATGTCACAACTTGCCCAGGAAATACATTTGTATCTACCATAACAATGAAAGGCACAAGTGGAGGGCAATAGAAAAAAAGAAGGAATTATAGAGGAAAAATTTTGTATACCATAAATTAGGTTTAACAGATATTAAGTGTGATGGGCTTTCAATTCATATACACTGTATCACAATTCATTATTCCATTCAGTTTATTACATATACAAGGTCCTGCCAACATGCATGTAATTAACATGTTCAAAATGTTAATTTTTCTCTTGTTATTTTATTCTTTGTAAAAACTAGTACCTTTATGGTTTTATGTCAGACAGTAAATAACTTATCCAGGTAACCAGGTTAAACAAAACTGTACAGCTTACCATCAGCTGGTATGTGTGAGGTATCATCAGATGTCCCTGAATCATTTACCTGGTCTCCACTGCTGAAAGAGACAAATCGTTGAATGTTATGGTTTGTTTTACATTAAAATGCTTTTTAAATATATACAAATCAATCTCAAGATAAATATATGTTTAATCAAAATGAATATGTAATACAGTAAAACAATCTGCTTTTTCATACATTAAATAAAAATTTTGAATGGTATAAGAAGAATACCATAGTTAATAATACAAGATATAAAAAAAGGAAAGTACATTAGTATTTATACAACTTTTAATGAAATCCAAAACCAGTGAGAGAGTTGCTTATAATATAGGCCAATAATTAGCATTTTTCTACACCGAAAATGTATTTCTGATAGATACTTACCTCCCCTCACAAAATAGCTTTTCTCGATTAGCAGTGCTCTCTATTAACACCAATTTTCAATGCATACCATTAGCATTCAACCTCCTGCTTCTGCATACTCACATGCAGCAGCTCTTCACCAATAGGAGCACAACACCACTTCTATTATAACCAGCACCTTCTTTACATCTGCACTCATTAATCATTTCAAGACTGGTCAGAAGACCTATACCAGATATCACTGAAAGTGGGGAGGCTAACTTCTGACACGATATCTTACCTTCACTCACAAGATAGCTAGAATCCTACACTGAAGTGGTGGAAGGCCAATACATAAAAAGATCCTTCTTTAGGAACCAAACGAGAAAACATGTCACATCAGCGGGAGGCCGCACCATATCTCTTCCAGGTATATTATTCACTCTTTTATGATTGTGTCATGAACATAAATGGTGGAAAAACATGAAGGTATCCCAGAATATGTAGTGCTAGTCGAGAAAAGCTATTTTGTGAGAGGAAGTAAGGTATTGTGTCAGAATTCTAAATCTCTTATATCACCTGAATAACAAATCTCCCTAAATTCCAATTATACACCACAACCAGACTCCTAAGTATCCAATTTTATTCCATAACCAGTTTAACTCTTCGAACATCTCAAATATCTACCCTCAGCATAACAAATAGATAACCAAAGCTGGGAGATTAGTGGAATCTGCTAATCAATTAATGGAATCATTAATAGATTACATTTAACTAATTGTTTATTACATCATCAAAGATAAAACAATACGAGTACATGGTTGTTGGCATTGAAATAAAAAACTTGCAATTCTAACAATCAGATTTTAATATCTGCAATGGGCAGAGCAAAGATAGCCCACAATGTAGCTTAACAAAATGCAAATATGATATCAATTTTTAAGTTACCTAAAATAATCAAAAATCTTGATTTCAATTATTTGATAATTTTCCCGAGTCATGACACAAATTGATTAAGCTGAACAAAATTAAAAATCATGAAAAATCATAAAGGCAATATTCCAGTTACTTGTAATGTAATAATTATGAACACTAATTTCAATTGGTCGATTTATTTTCGTGACATTAATTGCTTTAGTCATAATTTTGAGTAATCAGTTATTTTACGTGACACTAATCGATGAAACAACTGCTCATACACAATTGATAATATAAAATTAATCAACCAGCTCTACAGATAACAAGGAACTATTTGGTCACTCACAGTTATCCCTACACCACACCTACTCCTAAGAAAAATTAAAACTACCCTTTATTTTTAAGAAAATCACTGATTCTACTCTTAAGTTCCTGTAAAAGGCTAGCCTACAATATTACTACGTAATAGCAATTTGTTCCACAGGCTAATCAGAAAAATAAAACTGTCTTAACCTGCAACCTCACCTATCATTTCTAAATCTTAAATTTGTTTCTCTAATCGTTGTATTTTCAAAGTTCAGTACAAAGAAATATGTGACCCTTATCTAACTGATCCACTGGATAACCTTTTAAACTTAAATAAGGTCACCTCTGAAGGGAAAGTAAGAAATCTTAGTCTATACCTTTCCCCTATCATCCAAGTACCTTTTCTCTGAACCATTTTCAGTAAAACAATGCCCTCTCTTAGGTTAAGTTTAGTTGTCATTATTCAAATGTTAAGAGTATTATGAACAAAATGTATAAGCGCATGGCATTACATGAAATGGACAACAATGATATATTGGAATTACTGAAACTTGGTTAGACTTGGAGAACACTTATAACAAGACTTTAGAAATTCCAGATGATAAGTTATACAAAAGGGGTATGGTGCTCTTCTTATAGTAAATGAGCTGCAGTCTACTGAGACTGAATGAACCAAAGATCTTGGCATAGTGGTGGATAAATCACTCAAGTTATTAGGCAGTGTGCTGTTGCTAGTAGTAAAGCTAATAAAATTTATAATGTATTTAGAAACTGATTACAAGTCAAGTGGTAATTGTCTCTCTAAATAAGTCAGTAGTTAAGCCATGTTTGGAATAGTTGTACAGTGTTGACTTACTGGTAGTGGTTCTGGGGTGATACTGGATATGGGTTATTTTACAGGGATAGCTTTCGATTTCTTAATTTTTTCACTCTTGAGAGAAGTTATAAGTTGAATTGAGTAGGCTTATCCAGGGGAATGAATGCACGTCTTTACTCTACGATGTCAAACAACTCTACAAGCAACTCTTTGCCATGAAATACACTACTTCCTACACAATCTTCACTGGGGACACAGAGACTATCATATATGAATATAAGGTGACAAGAGTGGTTTCATGTGGCTGCATGAAGACAGAAACTCAGATTAAAAATATATAAAGTTAAAGTTTGGGAAACAGCTGCATTTGGACATGCTCCTATCATAACACTAAATAAATGTTATAAAAAATGCAAAACACTGAGGAACTTGTAAAGAGTTAGGTGAAAAGATATCACTCATTCAACTACAGTAACAAACACTGTGTTAAAAGTGTGAAGATATACTGTGAATACACAGAGTAATATAATTTTATGTTCATTTATAATCTCTTCTAATGTAAAAAAAAAAAACACATCCTGTCAAACAGATCCTAAGCACGAATCTTTTCTCCGGGTAATAACGTAGTATTCCAAGACATAACGAATGCCTTACCAACTGATATCTATAAATAATTTAACAACAGTCAACTTTAGATTAAAGGATAATTTTTACCTAAAATATTCCAGATGTTTCCACAACATTTCTCTTGACTCTTGCTAAAAGTAATAAATGTCTAGCATTTTTCAAATTTTACACCAAGTATCTGAAAACAAGATATTCCACTTCTTCAAATCCTGTAGATTTCTTAGAGCTTACTCATCGACCCAACCACAGGAATGTTGAAGACTATGAAATGGATGACCTATTAAAGTATTTTTCTCTTCTGTTTTTACATCATTCCTGACCTTGAGTGTTCAATACAAAATATTGGAATTGACCTGAATAACACAGATATTAATCTTTTAGTGTTAAATAGAAAATAATTGGGATTAAAAAGGTTTTGTCCGGGGATTTAAAGGATGCCAACTATCAGATACGCAAGCCACTCATTTTTGGTAGGTCAACAGATACAGTACAGGTGTTTGAGGATCGAAGAGTTGCTAATGTTACCTCTATTTTCGAATAAGAATTGCACTGGAAATTATAAGATTGTTAATCTTACTTTTGTAGTAGGAAAAAAAAAAAGATCTAGAGTCTGATAAAAAAAGCTTTAAAAATTCATTTGGTGAAATATAATATCATAACAGAAAACTAACATGGATTCACTAAAGAGAATTCTTTCCTTACTAATCATTTATCTTTTTCACAAAGAAGTTACTTGTCACCTGAACATTGGAAAGGACATAGACTTGAATTACTTAGATTTTTAAAAAGCTTTAGATAAGATGACACACAAAAAACTAGCTGAGAAAATCACATCAGTAGGATTAGTTAACTGGGCCACAGGATGGTTGGATGGTAGAAAACAAAAGGTTGAACCATTATTACTAATCGTGAGCCTCAGGGGTTGGTACTTGGGAGTTTTAACGTTTTCTTATTCAATATGAATATTGTTAGGGGCATAATTAGTAAATCCTACTGATGACATTAAACTCTTTGGTATTTCTAATTGAATTGATGATGTTTAAGACATTATAGTGACTCAGATCAACTGGCAGGTTGGACAAATATTTAGCAAGTGACCATTAATTATGCATACATGGTATTGTATTCAGGTTGTCATAATGAGGATCACACATTTAATTTAGAAGGGGTCAACTCAAGAGCATTACTCAAGAAAAGGATTTTGGCATACTGGTGGATAAATCACTCAAACCATCAAAGCACTGCTCTGTTATTAATATAATTTTAGGATGGACTTATAGACATACTGATTATCAGTGAAAAGAGGTAATTAATATTTGATAGGCCTCGCATATTATACTCTGAACAGTTTGTCTCCTTATCTTAGAAAAGATATTGACTTATTGGAAATGGTTCACAGAAAGGGTACTATAATGTTCCTGGGATAAAAGGGTTATCTCAGAGGGATATGTTAAGGTCTCATAATTTATTTTCTTTAGAGAAAAAGATGGATAAGAAGTGAACTTACTAAACTTTACACAATTAACTCCATGGAAATAAACACAATAAAGGCCTTATATTTCTTTGTGTTATATTCTCAAGGTAATAGAGCACAATTTTAAGATTTGGAACACGTTGTCTATACCCTATTCAAGACATTTTTTTTTTTTAACATTGTGATTGACTTATGGAATGAGTTGCCATTACCAGTTGTTGCCAGGGGCCAGCACTTTACAACAAGAGTTTCAGACTGGAATCAATAATTTCTATAAAACTAAAATAAAGGATGGGTGTGACAAGGACAGCTGTGAAAGCCCAACTGGTTTCTTGTTGTCTGTATGTTATCATACCTACAGTTCTAATTGAAAAAGCTTAAACAGTGACACATTTTCTTCAGAAAAGAATTATGCAATAACTTAATTAAACTGTTAACCTGAGAAAAAATCATTTATTTTTGGACTGAAATGACTGATGTTGGTAATTTTAATATTTGGGATAACATACATTAGTATTAAAAGCCTTGATAACATTTTTAATTTGTGAAAGAGTTTGCCTGATGATTATGATGTGCTGATAGTTTAAATTATTTTCAGTTTCACCAAATACATATACAGAATATAAAAGTAGCATTTGCTTGAGTTACTGTTTGTCATGTTTCTCCATACATCAGAAGCAATAGACCATTATTATATTCCTACAGTTAATAAACGTTTCATTATCAAAACTATTTGTAAACAATAACAACAAAAAACATAAGTTCTATAAATAGTTGATTTTCTGTATTTTAGAAATATTCTAATTTATGTACATATCTCTTTACTAACTAGAAAAGAACAAGAAGATTGTTTAGTTTTTTATGCAAATCTTTCTCAAAATAAAACATTTGGGAAATGTCTGATTCTCTTAAAAATAAACATAAAATACTCCATAAAATTACTTGACTTCAGTGTATAGCTGTTAATGAATGTAGATTTAAAATTTCTAAATTACTTTGTTAAATTTATTTACAATAAAAGGTCTATGTCATTAGGTATCCCATTACATTTAACAATTATTGGTGTTGTAAGTTGTAACCGTTCCTCAGTCCTAACATTTGTGTAATAATAATATTAATAATCACATAAATATAAAGGCCTAGATCTTAGAAATAAAACTCAGAAATTTAACCAAAAAACTGAATTTACTTTAACCTTAAAAACTATGTAAAAATAAGGTTCAGCAGTACCAATGTAAAGTTCTAACCAAACGTTTAATGAATCTAGTACTAATAGTAATACTAGTATGAGTATGAATCTAGACGCGAGCCTTTAAGTGTAATACTAATAAAAACAAGGCCACTTTCTACACGTACATCTTTACGAAGTTAAGTGATACTATTATTCAGTAATGTTGAAAACTTATAGAAGTTCGAAGAGTTGCCAGTTTACAAGTTACACCAGTTTTTACCTGGTATCTAAGGGTTGATCTAACATATCCATGTGGTTGGCCCAAATGTTTTGAATTTGCTAGAAAGCGCAGCACACTTGATCACGGGGCCAAATATTAGGTCATGTGAGTTGTGAAAATGAGCATGTGACAAAATGGCGGCTAGCTGCACGATTAAAGGTTGTTGTAATTATTCATCCGCCATATCCGGTTTTGTGCATCCTCGACACGAAATTTACCCACAGATTTTATTGGCATCAAAAATAATTGTAAATTTCTTCTTTAATGTCGAAATTAAAAAACAACAACAACACAAAAAACAAAACACGTTAGAATTAAAACTTAGTTTGACAAAGTTTTTAGCTAAAATCTGGTATAAGCCCTTCATCAGGTTTTTTTTTTTGTTTGTTTTAGTACGATACTATCAGATCCCTGTCCGCCACGGGGATGGAATCAAGGATTTTAGCAACTTAAATAAGTATACTTACTGCTGACCCACATGGGGGAGGCTTTATCAAGCTTAAGTAGGTGGCAAAAATGTCACTGTCAATGTTTCAAACAGACAACTCACGTATGATAAAATACCTACTATACATGAGCCTTTGAAATGCATAGAATTTAAATCCAAAACTCAAATGGATCCCACAAAAAAGAGAACTTCCGAGACCCGTCACTTTCATGACACTACCGTACTGAAATAAACATGGTTCAAAAAATACATACATGAACCCATATATCCAAAGAAGAAAATCAAGCTATATCAATCCTGAAAGCTCGCAAACACTTTGTCATTAAGTCAATTGGTAAAGGTGGTGCCTATATAGTCATTTGGTAAAAAGACCTCTACGTTCAAGGGGCCATGACTAATTTTTACAAACCTAATTCTTGTGTGGTATTATCATCAGATGGAAAACATGTGGTGTGCCTGCATTTTACGCCTATTTTTTAGGACATTTCCAAAGAGAGCAACAGAAGAAGTTATAAGAATCCAACCAAGTTCCCCTTTATCATAATTAAATATCCTCGAACTGCCATCTTTCTTTCTGTTGCTCAGAGTTAATAAATTTGACTGCCTATGACATCTTATATCCATGCAACTACCTCACCAAACTAATTTCGACCTCCCTCGACAATATTGTTGTGTATCTGCTCGTTTGTTATTTCCGATATACATTCCTTCCGAGGAACTTCAGCGATACAAGTCCTTTATTAATTAAAACTAGTTTATTCGTTCTCGATACACTTTTATAATACACAGAATTTCCACAGTCAATACGTTTTGCAATCTCGATAACAAAACACACACTTTATATTACCGTCACTACCGCTCGCTTGACTCAATTATCTGTCTCTATATCTATATAACTGCAATCTCTCTATCTATCTCATTCTGGTTTATTTGCCGGGCTTATATACTAAAAAAAGAGGGCGCCTTAAACAGACTAGAGTTGCCAGGAAAATTCAAGATACTTCGAGAATCTCATGACGTGTTAGCAGCGTCACTGACTTCCGCTGTCGTAACAATATTTTCAACTACTAGTCAGCACCCAAATAATTTCTTTTTTAAAACAGCTTGACTCTACTACAACTCTGAATTATATTTTCGTTAGGAGAACACTCAGTAACTATGGCCACCATTATATATCTCACAATGATGGATTTAACATACTGTTACGTCTCCGTTTGTTAATTGATTTTTCCGTAACTTCGTTCCAACGAAACTTT